TTTATGCTTCGCAGCGCTAAACGTCGTGGAAAGGATATAGTGATCACTTCCTAGCGCTTGTCCCGTGTTAATCCACTTTGCATTACTGATGCCTCTGAAAAACGTAAGGTCTGGGGAGGTATCCATGCTTATGCTGTTGCCTATCCTCGTATGATCTTGTGGATTGTTTAACAGCATCCATCGCAGATCCCGGGCAACTTGCCAAAGCCGATTGCCCTTTGGGCTGGCTCGAATATAACCCCACTCCGGGTGAGGCGCATTGAAATCTCCTACCACTATAAGCGGAGCGCGAGCTGCTAACCGTTGAGTTTGAATCAGGAGTTGTGGCAAGCCCAATCCTTTATCTTTTGGAGAACTATACACATTAAGTAAAAACAGACTCTTCTCATACTTTCGTTTAGGCAAAATCTCAAGCAAGACATAGTCTTCTCTGCTGCTATCTACGGAATGCTGAATGGCAGTGATGTTGCGATGGACTAGCACGGCTGTGAAGACGCGTGATACGCCCCTTGAATCAGTTCCTGGCGCTGTAAATGCCTTAAATCCAGGTAATTTTACTGAACCACTAGCCTCCTGTAAGGCTATTATGTCTGGTTTACTGTCCAGATTTTGTACGTGCAACTGCAGGTTACCCCGCTTTTGACGAAAGCCCCTGCAGTTCCACTGCCAAACCTCAATTTGCTGGCGAGGCACCATGATGAGGCACCAGGTTGACTAATGGCACTTGGCCACCCACGGGAGGCAGTCTTGCCTCCAATAGAGTATGAAGCTGCTGAAACATGCCCATGACCTGGGTTTGGGAATCCTTAAATTCAGTGGAGAGCATGCCGAGACGCTCCTCTATTGTGTCTAATCTGGCTTCGATCTTTTCGACTCGAGCCTCCAACCTATCCTGTCTTTTCCCTTGTTTGCCTACTTTATCCGCAAGTGTTGTTACATCCGACTTAAGACTAATGACCTTAAAAACAGGCTGTGGCATGTCTACTGGTGACGTTTCGGCTAATCGTTTTGCGTTAGCTACCTCATCCCCCGGCAGTGGTCTCTTCACTGTCCCCCGATTCTCCACTTCCATAGCTGCACTCTCCTGTACGCGAGCAGACGCCTCTTGCGTCGCTTTCTGTAGGCCTTGCACTGCTGGTGCCTGTGTCCCCTGCCGTTGGTCGTTTCTAAGTGCGCGTTCCATCTCTGCAATTCTGTTTTCCATTCTTTTAATCAAGTCTCCCTGTCGCTGAACCAGCGCTGCTAACTCCCTCTCTCGAGCGGTTTCGTTCTGGGAGGCCGTGCCTGACAAGCTCACCTTTTTGTTGGTGTCGCGTGCGCAGCTGTTGGTACTGGATGCTCGTCCACCATCTTGGCCGCCCCCGCGCCCTGGCAATGGCGGGAAGGAACTCGACCGGTCCCTGCTTTTGCTTCTGCCTTCTTTACCCCTCGGTGACCGCTCAGTGGCCCTCGAGGAACGCTTATCGTTGCCAGCTTCGCTATCTCTTTCGATGCTCTGCTGTCGGCCTGTCGGTGGCTTGCGAGCCAGGCGAAACTTGCAGTTACGGCTCCCTGTGTGATGCGCACCATGGCACACGATGCAGACCGGCGTGCACGTAGGTGGCTCTCCTTCTGGCGGGGCAGGATGGTCCTTCCCGCAACGGTGACATAGGTTGCTCTTCGGACGATAGCAAACGTCCGCTCGATGTCCAACTCGTCTGCAGTTGTAGCAGGTGTCGACTAAATTTCTGTACGGGATCACAGCGTACAGACAGTTCCAGTAAGTAATCTGCCGGGGTATGTGTTTTCCCCCGAACGTAATCTGAATCGCCTTTGACTTTCCCAGAGGTCTCGCGTCCAGAATGTCTATGCCTTCATTCTTCTTCAGGAATCCCGCCCGAACTTCTTCCACTGGGCATCCATCATAAGCATTATAAATCACTCCCCGCACGGAGTTCTCCAACGGCGCCACGAACGCCGAAACCGGCAGGTCACGATCACCCAGCTTGAGCGTCTTCACAGTCGCATATGCCCCACTGCGATTTATGCACGGTGTGCTCACCGTCAACGTGTTGTTTGTGCCATTAACCCGCACAATGTCTTCTTCCGCGGCAATCGCACTCGTTAGACGCGCTGCTGCTCTCAGTGCACATCCGAGTTCTCTCGCTGTCACAACACTCAAGTCCCAGTTCTGGGGCCTGTACACAATCTTGAAATCCGTGGCTGGCAACTTGAGAAACGGTCCGCGTTTCTTCCATACCGGCGCTTTCCCCCGCTTGTCTTGCTGCGCTCCGTGCGTCTTGCGCCCGTCGCTGCCGGCCTGCGTCTCGCAAGGCTTACTCTTGGCGTTGTCGCCATGCCGAGTCTTCTTAAATCGGTCCTGTGCCTTCAGCACTGGAGCCCACTCTCCCGCTTCAAAATCTTCGGGTGTTATAGTCTCCCCTTCGACGTAGTACTCCATCTTCAGCCCAACAAGACCCACGGTCACCGGGCGCAAGTCAGACGCCGGGCGACGCGGCCCAGGCCAGGCTTGGCCTAGGAGATAGGCCTAGCCTTGCCACCGCGGGGTTGATAGGAAAATCTCGGAAACTCCAAAAACGGGGACTAACTTGCCTAAACGAGTGGTGTCCGCAGGTACAGGGCAACCTCCTGCAGACGAGCCCACTGACAGCAAGTCCAGAAAAAAGCGCGTCCGCCGATAGTCGGTCACCGGGCCGGAGCTCATGCGAAACACGTCCGCACAGCGTCTCACTCCCACCGAACCGCAACAAGTACATAAGAAATTTTCTTACGGGAAGAACTGCCACGGTTAGACTGGACGAGGAGGAGAGCATCCAAGTGGACATGGGCAACGCTGGCACACCGCAAGGGTCCGTCGTGTCACCGATGCTGTTTAACCTCGTCGTAATTGGATTATCAGAAAAATTAGAGCGAATCGAAGGCATCAATCACACAATTTATGCAGACATTACGATTTGGACCACGCAAAACACCAGTGAAGGCGAGATGGAGAATATACTACAAGAGGCAGTAGATGCAGTCGAGAGTCATCTGGATGGCACCGGATTGGAAAGCTCACCTGGCAAATCAGAACTGCTACTATACCACCCCAAAAGATTAAGCATACATTGCAGAAACGTAGCAGAATTACACAAAAGAATCAGGATAACCACTAGAAATGGCACGGAACTATAACGAACCTGGAAAAGAAAGTCATGGCGGCCGTTAGGCTAATACAAAGAGTATCCAGTAAAAGAAGGGGCATTAAAGAAAGAAACGGTGTACGACTCGTCCAGGCCTTCGCGATCAACCATGTCGCGTACGTAGCGGCGTTCGTCCATTGGAACAAATCCGAGAAGGACAAAGTCGACGCGCTGATTAGAAAAGCGCACAGAGCTGCGCTGGGTCTACTGCAATACACAAAGAACGAAAGGCTGCTACAACTCGGAGTACATAACACGCTGGACGAGATCGCTGAAGCACAAAGGATAGCGCAACTCGAACGATTGTCTGGAACCGTGGCGGGTAGAGAATTTATGGAAAACATCTCCATTAATTACCACGGAATGAAAGGTCCCAAGACGCAGATTCACCCGGACGTCCGGTCCGTGATAATTACGGAAAACATCCCAAAAAATATGCACCCTGCACACAACGTTGAGAGGCGAAAATGCTGCACAAAAATGATCCTTAAATACCACGGCACGCGGGAGGGTGTGCTTTTTGTAGACGCCGCCCGGTATTCTCGAAAAAATAATAACAGTAATAGGGTTGTGCATGGCTCCTTCTTCGCAATGGCGGTCATAGACACAAAAGGAAAGACCTTGACCGCGGGCTCCGTAAGGACCAGATCGTCGGAGGCAGCGGAAGAAATGGCCATTGCACTGGCCGTAGTCAATGGTCGAAAACACGACAGATTAATAATCAGTGACTCCAAGATGGCCATTAGGAATTTCACAAAGGGATGGGTCTTCACCGAAGCAGCCAAAATACTGAACCGCAGAGCAGAAGACTTCCGGAACGGCAAAATTGTACCCAAATACCTCAAGTGGATCCCGGCGCACATGGGGTAATTAAACATCGAAGACACGACCATCCATCCAAACCTCAACGGGAAGGCCCACCGAACCGTGCGAGAACTAACCCACCACGGCTCGGACAGTGACGCCCCCCCCCCCCCGCACCGACCACAGAAGGGGGGAGGACTCCAGTGGAGGCAATGATGACGATGGAGGTGATGACAATAATGAATATGCGATACAAGACGACAGAGATAGACTGGTCACGTATCATGACATATTGACACATTATAAGCGACAAAGAGAAGAATATCCGCCACCACACAAACAGCTAGACAGATCTCAAGAAACAGATTGGCGGAGATTGCAAACCACAACCTTTTCAAATTCAGTACACCTGAACAGAGTAAATTCCAGACAATACCCGCCAACAAGCTGTACCCTTTGTAAGCACAAATACGCAGATATGGCACATTTTCTATGGCAATGCACACAGGTCACAGTAGTATACAGCGAGGACAATATAAAATCGGACCTTCTCGAGGAGCGTTGGCTAAGTTCACTGACTAGCTCAGATCTGCCCGACCAACTGTGGGCAATCCAGCGGGCCCGGACAGCGGTGGAACGGCTACGCCTCACCGCAAAAAAACGTCGGGGTGGCCTGAGCCCGGGCCGGTAACGCTGCAGGGTTTCTTTTTTTTTTTAAGTGAAGTTTCTCATCCATCTATTTATTCCTGGCTCAAGTTCTCGTTGCAGGAAGCGACGTGTCGGTACACTTGCATCAGAGATTAGAATCTTCGAAAGCTGGCCGCCCCGGTAGGCATGCCTCTGTTATTTTGCACATGCGTACTTGTATATACATTAAATCTCAGTTTTGCACCTGAAATAAATCAGTTGCCTGTGTCAGCCGTTTTGTCCAGTTAGCATTCCTCTCCGTTATCGTGTTTCATTATTATTTTTTTTCTTGCTCTCAGTATGTCATGCAGTGACGGAAATACGTACCGAGTATGCTGATCTTGCTTCGGCCGCCGTGGACGTCGTCTCGTATGCCCGAGGCCACTTGTATGGCCTTGACCCGCTCTAGGCCGCCGCTTCGGTGGCCCACGAAGACGTACACGTTGTCGCGACAGTCGAGCACGAAGCAGTCGCCGTGGTTGAGCGAGCTAGCTTCCAGGGGCACCTGTCGCACGCGGATGTTGCGGCGCCCTTTGACCTGGAAGAGCCGCTTGTGCACCGTCTTGTCCACGCTCTGCAGACCGGACTCGATGCCACCCTCCAGGTACCTGCGTGGCACACCAGCACTGCTCGGCAAAGCGTTTCAAAACTGTAACTATCGCCAGACGTAAATGAGCATTGAGTATCGTAGATCTGATTGATTGATTGATTGATTGATATATGCGGTTTAACGTGCCAAAACCACCATATGATTATGAGAAACGCCATAGTGTAGGACTCCGGAAACTTGGACCATCTGGGGTTCTTTAACGTGCACCAAATCTGAGTACACGGGACTACAAGTACCGTAAATCTGGATGTAAAGATAGCACTACTAACGGAAATGTCAACGTTATGCACTACCCCTGAGTTAGGTATTTAGGAAAATAGAGAACGAACCAATTAAAACAACTGAAGGTATGCGGATGTTAACTACTTACATTACTTTTTTTCATTGTCAATAGTTATGTTAGTATTATAGCACCAGCACCAAGCGACATTGCGTTTTGCATGAAGCACACCCGAACGCACTCCCAGCCAACCGGATGTTCATCGTTGGCTCGAATGTTACGGAACCCAGGAAAAATTAGTCATATATAAAAAGAAAGGGGTGCTTGAAGTTGAGGGTTCTAGAGGATACAACTCCTAACTAGGGACTTAAAAAGAACATGAAGGTCACCTGAAGTTTCCAATAAAAATGAATGAAGTTCAATAAAAATGGATGCAGAAGTGAAGGTGTCTGCTCCTTTTTACTTGGATGTTAACATAAAAAAATAAACGTACAGTCGTGTATTAGGCTATTAGTAAAGTAACTTTCGAAGACGAATCCAGCAGAAAAATGAAGGTAGTTATGGGAGACCCGTGAAGACGTTAAAGTGCACATAATCATCGCACCCACTCATCTCGGAAGTAACATTATTGCAACAGTGAAAATTAACTGCGTTGGCAGAAACTTATGTCGCAAGTGATAGGAAGCTCTGAAAGAAAAATTGAAGAGCCCTTCTATGGGGAAAATAAGGGGCAAGCTACCCTTTGCTTATGCTTGCCTGACTCAACTGGTACTTCTGTTTCTTTCTTTGTTTTCTTCTATCTTTCTATCCCCGGCGGAAGCGAAACGGCTCGTTTCGGTTGTGAGCGTGGTGAGAGAGCGCGGTTACGCTTTTAGCATCCTGCCTTTCGACTCAGGTTCCGGCGATGGAGCCGGAACTTAAGGTCATGCGTTCATATCCGTTCATATCCCTCCCCTACACTAATGCCCCACGCGGGCGCTGGGAGTATTTGGGAAGTAGTTCTGCTACACAACAATAATAGTCATCTGACTTGCTCACATTTCTGGAAAACCCGGCGCTGGCCACACTCCTGTCGGGAATCATATCTCACACTGATAACGTGCGTGCCATTCGCGAACTCGAACTACTGGAACCGTCCTGATCGCACGATGAAAGTACTCGAAGTAGATGACGATTGTTCTTCTGTAGCGGAAATACTCCCCTAATGCTCGTTTTTTAGAGTGTATAGGTATTGTAAATAAATAAATAAATAAATAAATAAATAAATAAATAAATAAATAAATGAAAACTAAATAAATAAATAAATAAATAAATAAATAAACAATGAAGTCAGACACAGTGAAACGACAGGTGGCGTCGATAAAAGATCAGGCTACACATCAGAAAGCATTGATCGCCGACAAGCCCACGATCGAGAGGGCGTCAGTCATTGAAAAACAGCGCATAAAAAGTATACAGGTGTGACCGGCGCAGATTCGAATACCGAATTCATGTAACCAGCCGGCGCTGAGTAATTCGAGTCCGACAAGGCCACCACCATAAATCTGTAAGCTTCTCTTGCAGAAAGAATGGAAGAAAACGGAAGTCTACCGGTTGGTCTCCGAGAACGCCAGTGGTCTCCCAGAAGCCGCGGGCGCGACTGTTTTCCACCTGTTTCTCAGCTTCCAACGCGTGTGGCGAATGGAGATGTAGATCCTAAATTTTTGGAATGCTCTTAGACATTCTCCGGAGCACTTCTTCTTCTTCATCTTTTATGATGTCTACACGGAAGTGAACTGCATGCTAAAACGGGAAGCCAGGCTCTGCGCGACCTATTGAAGCATTTCGACGCATTCACCCCTTGTTTTGTGCTCACATCTGGTTCCACTTATCAGTTCTCCTGCCAGCTTCTTTTTTTTATTTTTCGTTCTGAGAATGTTCGCGTCATATTTTCGTCTTCTTTCACGGTGTCACACGGGTTACTCATGCGCTCCAAGCACGAACTCCTCTATAAACTTACGACCTGCTCACTAGCGCCACTCCGACGGAGGTGTTCGGGCCTAAAAACTGGCGCGTAGGGACCAGAGATGCCGCCAGGTGCCGCCGCGACTTATCCCAACGGCAGACGACGAACCAACGTCGTGGTTCACTCGTGCGTGCGCGTTCCTTTCATTGTTTTTCTAGTTTCCAACGCGTAGATCGAGCAATTCACAAATTAAACATCTCGAAGCAACATTATAGCTCAATACCTGTACGAGCGCCTTAACAAAAAGACTTTAACTTTCAAGCGCCAACCTTCAAAAAAAAAGAAAGAAAAAAAAAATTGGCCCCACATCTGCATTTAACCTGCAAATGTCGTCGAAAGACGATAGTCTTGCGTGTGGAGAGAGTGAACAAAACGTTTATTTGATGTTCTGCTCAAGAAATTCCGTGAATGGTATTCTGGAGGCGCTGCGTTAGAGTGCCTCGAGCATGCTGCGGAGGCGAACGAACGCATCAAGTCACGTCACACGTGAGACACGAGCGCCATCTGACAGTTTTTTTTTTTTTTCAAAAACAAAGCGCGTGGCTCTGAGACAGTTGTGAGCGCCCGCCTCAGAGGTGATAAGGTGTAGAACGCAAGGCGACGGGTAGGTGCCACCACCGTCTCGTTTTAGCAAAGCATTGGAAACACTCGCCTTTCCGTGCGAGCGTATAGTTGGTCAGCGCAACGTGATAAGCGCTACGGTCCTTAGAATTACTTATGTATGCCTTTGCTAGTAAAAGGTGCACATGCAGAATATATACGAGTTGTTATGGTGTCCCAGACATGCGCAATAATTACTTTTTAATCGAGAATTGCACAGGTATGAACGCTGAAACTTGAGCAACATAGGTGGGCGCTCCAGATGAGGTCGGCCGTTTCAAATACCCGATGCTGTTACGAGTAAACAAACAGACAAATGTACAGACAGACAGACAGACAGACAGACAGATCAAAATTTATGCGTCAGAAATCCCCAAGAAAGACTATCGTCTTTAAAAAACGAGCGAACGCCGCTGCGGGAAAGCGGTTTGACAGGCTGCAGCGGTAAGTTGGGGTGCCATGGCGTGCTGTGTCACTTTACAGAACTAATAAACGTAAACAATCAAAAGCAAATTAGCCAACACGGGGAGTGGCGGCATGAGCAGGTCGTAATTTTATAGAGGAAGACGTGGCTCCAAGCTACTGAACCTCTAGCACCCTCGTTTTCATAGCGATAGCAACTATATAGACACTGTTGTAGCACCGAAAGGCGGGCGAGTTGGAACTTATCCATAGTGGGCAGCGCACAAAAGGAAACACACAAGAGAAGGAATCAGGACAAGCGCTGGTCTAACAACTGAAAGTTTTATTTGAAAGAAAGCATATATATACATGTGTACACAGAAAATCAAGTGCTACGCAAGATTACATCCGATCAATGAAACCAATCTCCTGTTCAGATAAAGAAACAGATGGCTGGCTAACGCAAATGCCAACACTCTTCGCCATGTGGTAAGCCTCAGCAATCTCACGTGTCCTTTGATTATGATGGCGGTCGATGATTGCGGTTTGCTCAAAAGAAGGAATACAACCGCAATCGCGGCAATGGCTGGCGAGGTGAGACAGAACCCCACCCTTTAAAGAATTTTCATGCTCCCGTAGCCTAATATTAATACATCTACCGGTCTGTCCTATGCAGACACTCATAGGATCATCGACCGCCATCATAATCAAAGGACACGTGAGATTGCTGAGGCTTACCACATGGCGAAGAGTGTTGGCATTTGCGTTAGCCAGCCATCTGTTTCTTTATCTGAACAGGAGATTGGTTTCATTGATCGGATGTAATCTTGCGTAGCACTTGATTTTCTGTGTACACATGTATATATATGCTTTCTTTCAAATAAAACTTTCAGTTGTTAGACCAGCGCTTGTCCTGATTCCTTCTCTTGTGTGTTTCCTTTTGTGCGCTGCCCACTATGTATATAGACACTCTCGGCTGGATTTTACCACCGGCGTCAACGTGGGCATCATTCACCGTATCTATAAACGTATCTATATATATGAAACCACAAGAAAGAAAAATTATCCAGAAGAAGACTCCGCCGCGCGAAATCGCAGCTCCGACCTCTGCATTGCAAGTGCAAAGCGTTAGCCCCTGAGCCACGAAGGAGCACTTCCTTCACTGTTCAAACAGTAAGCTATTTATGTCTACCGCTTACCGCTGGCAATGGGCATCTCGGGAGAAATAATATCGTGTTTTCAGGATTGCCAGCAAGATGGCGCAGTGAGCTCGCATCGACGGCGTAGCCAGATCATCACGACGCGGCGGCGCGCGCTCTAATCTCCCAGCATACTTTGCCCTGCGGAGAAGGGACACTCTCCAGTGCGCGTGCTTATCTCGTGGAAGGAACAATCGTAAACTCTGGGCTTTCACCGGAACGATCCTGTTGTAGTTACCGGGCGCACATTGGTCACTGCACTTGTTGCACAGTCTCCATTTGCGAAAAGGGGGCGTTTTTCAGACAACGAAGCAACAGCTAAGACGCTGATTCGCGTTCATCCATACCTGTTAGTACGTTTCATGAGTCTTTTGTGCGTGAGAAACGGGGGGCACGTTTCAATCTGATTGCCATTTTTCGCGCGAACTTCCAATCTATTGCTATCACGTTCATTGTTTTGCCTTTACGGCAAAGCTGTGAGTTTTTTTCTGATATAAAAAACGTTAGAAGAAAAGAGAGGTAGTGTTGTGTAACAACTGGCAGTACTTGTGTTGTAATTATGGCTATTGTTGCCTGAAAGCGATTGGCTGTTGTCACCTGCTGTTGGATATTCCATGTTATCACGGCAAGATTGTCTTTCAATTTGTTTTCAATGACTGCATTCAAAGCTTTATTTTTCTGTTCTTCCTCTCTGAACTTTCTTTTGCGTTTAGAAAAACCTGTTTTAGCAACATTTCTCTGCTAAATGAGTGGATTACGGCCATTTTCCATACTTATTTTTGCCTGCTTTTAAGAAAAAAAACATTCTGTCAAAACTGCATATAAGTGAAGTTTTACATCCATACCTCCATGAACACTGCATACCTCTCTACAAACATTCACGAGGTGCTGTTTGTTTCATTCCTTCTTATCTCTATCAAGCCCCTGATACTCAGTGCTAGTTTTGGTTTCAAAACGCGGCCGCTCGTAGCGGTTTCTGGGCATCCTAAGATCCGGTGGAATTCGGAGTGAGGTTGATGTTAACGCTCGTATTTATTGACTTTTACAAATGAGTTTTCAAAAATGAAGAAAATAGACAGCGTTCTAAAGAACTTCTCTCTTTCTTCACATGCCTCTCTTATTCCTTATTTTGTGAATTTCAAATGAGGTGAAGCGCGAAAAGTGATTACCTTCCGTTCGTAGCGCTTGCCTCCAATCCTTCTCGCCCATCGCTCAGCGATATTGGAGGTTGGATCGCGCTCAGTTATCTCGCTCGGCTAGCGTGCTTACTACGGGAAAGATAAAGACAGCAAGCTGTGGCGGGCAGGGAACGGAAGCCGCGGTGAGCTACGCCGAATAAGTTCACCATGCATTTGTCGAAGATAGCAACAGATGTTTTGCGTGGCTCTGCGGTGTGCTAACCCGGGTATTTCAGGTTCCGCGAAGGTTCTTCAGCGTTTCCTAAAGGCAACGGTGAGCACAAGAATGGACCCATTATTTGAGCAGGTATTGAATTTGCCCAAGTACATGTGTATAAACCCAGTTCTCTGCAAGTCTGACTAAACTGACGGAAGTGCGGTGTCGCTTGACTAATTGGTGAAGACGGCAGCCAAGCTCCTGTCGGGAAAATGCGTTTATTAAAATGCTTAAATTTGAGTTGGCTCGGCAGCATAGTTTTCGTTTCTTTTACTTTCGGCTTGTATACTTCAAAGGACGTCAAGTAATTATAGGTTGCTTCCTGCTCCTGAAATTCTTGTAGCATCGGTCTGAAAATTTGTGTCTTAAGTTCTAATACTGTCACACAAATACACGTAATGGACTAAATGCTTCTGAAGATCGTTACAGAGAATGTCGATGGAGCCAACGTTTCAACAAGTAAACTTTTCTTCATCAAGGCAACGCTGTTGCCCTGACAAGGACCAGTCAACTTGCCAGAACACTGTTTCTAGCGACGTTCTTTCGCGAAAAACTTCTGATCACTTCGAACTTTTATACTCGGTCTCATTTGGTACTCAAGTTCTGTTAGAAACCTATGCATGCCGTCATAAGAAACGTGATTGAGTCAAATGCATTGTTTCCTACTCCAGATTGTTGATAATTTTCGCAACGGTTTGGATATTCTGGGTTCCACGTTTACCCATTATGTCCGTATGTCACTTGTTAAATCTGTGTTTACGGGTTGACACTTTCATACTACGTGTATGTCTGTATTTTTATACAAAACAAAATTAATTTTATTTGGGCCCATCGAGTTTCGTCTCAATGAGAGATCGGTCAGCTCTACTTTCACCTCTTGAGAAAAGACGAACAAAATAAAAATAAAAAAATGATTAGGAAAATTTTACGAATGGCCGCAACTAGCGAGCGGGCAGCGGAGCTGGTGGTGGTAGTGGTTAAAACAAGAAGGCGCGTTAATTTCAGCAGCCCGGTCGGCAGCACGGAGTGGACCTGACAGAAGGCACGAGCGCAATCCGCTTGCATGCGAAGTGGGAAAGGAGGGCTTCTGCGGCAACCCTCCTGCTAAAGAGGCTAGCCTCTCCAATCCTGCTATTAATTTTTCGTCTTTTCCCTCTATTTCTGGACGTCACAAGTGACGTCATGAAATTTATTTTCTGTGCCTGATTTTTTTCTAGTAGGATGCCCGGCGACCACCACTGGTAAAATCGGCGCTGCCGCTGCCCAGAGCAAATACATGGGAGGTATAGAGGTATTCCACCCCTGTTTAATGCTGCTACCTGTAGGCACACTACCACGCACAGTTATCTTCTTTCCCATGGTGGCGTCGCTCCACCCAACCCAGCAAGTGGGCGTCTTCTTGCGCACATATTCACAGGTGAAGGTATGGACGGTATCTCGCGGGTCCATTTACCATACTCAGCTTGTGCAATACAAAGTGCTAGCGTAGTGGGTCAATTGCCGACCCACTACACTGGCAAACGCTTATTCTGGTCTCACGACTGCATTAATGTTCACTTGTTCTGGCAGGCTTGAGGTGCGTGTACGTGGATTTAAGCGCACGTTGAAGAACCCTATAGGTGTTAGAAATTTTCGGAGATACACATGAAAGTGGTTCTTGCGTAGCTAGTCTGTGCTTCTGTTCAAGGCATCGTTACATTTATGTCCCCAACTGCGGCATCCCTCGTAACCATATCGCAGTTTCGGGACCCAAAACCACAAGAAGGATTATGCTGCCACGAAAGAAAACGCGTTTGCTTCTAGATCACTGTTTGTCGTTTCCCCTCGTGACTACATTATACTAGTTCAATGCGTCAGCCTAAACCTTTTTACAATGGAGTAAATTAAAGCGTAGAGAGCAAAGAGCTTACTTGACGCCGTTCTTGAAGTAAGACAGGAACAGGTCCGACTCGTGGTCTTGCACCTCTCGGTGCTGCACAGGACTGCCCCCCAGTGAATCGTCCAGCTCCACGCTCTTGATGGCGGCGACCGTGTACTCGTCCTGGGTTTGCAACGAGCAAGGAACGCGTGAACAAGTTAGTTACGTGCATGAGGTTCAGCCTTGCCACAAAGACTCAGTAAGGGGGTACCAGAAAACAATTCAGTGCCATTGGATGAGTAAACCCTTGTTCTATGTGAACTCTACCAGAATACGGTAGTCATCCGCCTTCTACAGTCATCGAGAGTTATCAAGCACTGAATAGGGTGCGCTGTCTGTGTTCTAGACTTCTAGTTACATTCAGAAACAATGCTTGCGAACAGTGCAATTTCGTGCACACATGAACCACACAATGAAAAGCCTGGTACAATGAACTTAGCATACGCTTTGTAGCGGTTCTTTCTTTGCATCTCTCTCCTGCTATTCATTTGTCTCTTCTCCCTTTTCTCTCCCTCTCCAGCGGATCACTCGAGCAATCGAGGCAGATAAGGGCCATGAATATGAAAAAGAACGAGTTCCTGAAAGGAAGATTGTGATGTTCTACAAGCGACGCACTGCCATTTCCGGCAAATAGGCATACCATCGCTCCTGGTGTCACAATCGCTGGCTTCCGGTCAATGCGCCGGGCACCAGGAGCAAAAGAGTTATTGGGTTACGGTTTCCCTTCAAGAAGGACGCAGCGCACGGATCGCGCATTCCGCGAACAGGTAAAGCAGTTTGTACCGAGCAGCCCAGCAATGTTGTTCTTTCACAAGAACCCCACGCAAACCCCGCAACGTAACAGAAGATAATGATGCTTTGGAAGAAGTCCCAGCTTTGCCGCAAAGGCGACGCAATGAACGCGATAGCAACAAATTGAAAGGTCACGCGCATATTGGCAAGCAGATCGAAACGTACCCCACGTTTCTCACGCACGAAGGACGCACGAATTGTACTCACAGGTACACATTAACGCGAATAAGCGTCTCCATTGTAACTTGGCTGTGTCTGAAAAGCACACCCTTTTCGCAAACGAAGGCTGTGCAACAACTGCAGTGACCTTTGTGCGCACGGTAACTACAACAGAATCGTTCCGACGAAACCCAAAGGCTAGCCAAGCCGTACGATTCTCCCCACTGCAAGATAAGGGCGCGCGATAGAGCGTACACCCCCTTATTCTCTACGTGGGCCAAAGTACGCGTGAGAGGTGAGAGCCGCCGCACGCTCACAGCGCCATCTTGCTGATAATGCAGAAAACACGATAGTACCCCCCCCCCCTCATAGGCCCACCAAAAGCGGTAAGTGGTAGACATGAATAGCCTTCCGTTTGAACATTGAAGGAGGTACCTCTCGGGGGCTCAGTGGTTACAACGCCTCGAATTCACGACGCGGAGGTCCCACGTTCGGTTCCGCGCACCGGAGTCTTTCTTTTTCTGAGTTTTTTTCTTTCTTCTGTATTCATACATATAGATACGTAAACATATACGGTGGATGACATCGACGCCGACGTCCGCGGCCACGTCGACGCCCACGCCAACACCGGCGGCGAAATCCAGCCGAGAGCGTACATATAAGTGCTATCGCAATCAAAACTCAGTTCCCCATCAAGTGATTCTGAAGCTTTATAGTTCGGCAACATGTGTCACATTTTGTCGTTATAAGCTTTTTGTTTATGTGGACCTTCAATGAGCTTATATAGGTAAGCCTCAGATTTCATTTATTGAACCCTGCGTTTCAAGGCGCGTATTTTCAAACGGTAGGGTTGGGACAGTCATCGGCAATAGGCTGACGTTGACTCCGCGGAATGTCAGGCAGGCTGTGGAAACTGAGTGCTAGTTTCGGCGTCAAGGAACATGCACGCTCGTAGCGGTTGTCGGGCTTCCCAAGATCCGGCTAAACTGAGTGAGGTTCATGTGAATGTTCGCATTTATTGGCTTTCACACGTTTTTACAAAAAAAAATTGATGCCCCTGTAAAGAGCTTTTCTTTTGTTTATGTGTCTTTCCTTATTCGTCATTTTAAGAATCTGTATTTAATCAGGCCAAGAGCGGGAAGTGATTGACTTGAGTTTGCAGAATGGTGTCGTTCGCAGCGCTTTCCTTCGTTCCTTGTCGCCCCTCGCTCAGCGATATTAGAACTTGGATCGCGCTCAGTTATCTCGCTCCGTTTACGTGCCAACTACGGGGAAGACAAAGGGAGCAATGTGTGGCGGGCAGAGAACGGAAGCCACAGTGAGTTACGCCGAACAACTCAACCATGCATTTGTCGAAGATGGCTTAATCGGGCAACACATGTTTTCCACGGCTCTGCGGTGTGCTAACCCGAGGATTTCAAGTTCCGCGATGGTTTTTCAGCGTTTCCTAAAGGCGATGGGTGAGCGCAAGGATTTGTACCCATTATTTCAGCAGGTATTGCATGAGTACATTATTGATTGAGGTATTGATTTTGCATGAGTACATTAGTAAACCCAGTCCTCTGCTAGCCTGACTGGGCTGACAAAAGTGCAGTGCCGTTTCACTAATAGGTGAAGACAGCAGCCACGCTCCTGTCGGGAAAATTCATTTATTGAAACGCTTGAGTTCGAGTTCGTTCGGCTACATAGTCTTAGCTTCTTTTTACTTCTGGCACGTAGTTCAAATGGTGTAAAATAATTAGAGAACACTTCCTGTTCATGAAATTATCGTAGCCGCGGTTTGGTACTCCTGCTCGGTCCCGTTTTGTACTCAAGTTCAGTAAGAAAACTACGCACGCCGTCACAACAAACGTGATTGAGCCAAATACGACGTGTCCTACTCGCGATTGTTGATAATTTTCACAATGGTTCGGATATTCTGGGTTCAATGTTTGCTCATTATGTCCGTATGCCAATTAAGGCCGCTTTTATAGATTGCCACTTTCACACTACGTGTATGTCTGTTTTTATACAAAACATGCAGTAAAGAAGTTCATTTCATTTTATTTGTGGTGATCGAGTTTCGTCTTATTGAAAAATTATTCAGCTTAACTTTCGACTCTTTAAACAACATGAATAAATTTTAAAAAAATGTTTAACAAAATTTCACGAATGGCCGCTTCGCCCTAGCGGCTAGCGGCATAGATTCTCTTAAAATTAACTGGAGGGGACTCTGGCGCTGCGATCGTTCAGTGACCATGGGAATGATTGATAGTACACGGATTTGCCTAGTCTTCGCACTTGTGGGCGGCGAATCACGCTTGTGGCTGCGTTAATTGCTGTGTTTCGGTTTTCTTTCGAGAGAAAGAAAACCGAAATGAATGTAATGAATGTATTGTAAATGAATGTTCGGTTATTTCTCTAATGGTTATTCAGTTTTTAGTCTTTCATGCATTGCTTTGTTATGAATATTTTTGTGTGTATTTTAGAGTTGTGATTCTATTATTTGCTGTCATGGGCCACATGCGTGTTTCTTTTTGTATTGTCGCTTTCCGCTGCCTGTAACTTTTGTAACCTTTTGTAAATTTGTAGTTTAAATTTTTTTCTGGTTGAAGGGGCCAGTCAAGCAGTGAAATGCAGCTTTTTTCCATTCGCACCAAACCGCGTAAACAGTGTATTTTCGTGTACTTGTCACGTGGTTGAATAAAACTCAAACTCTAACTCAAACCCTTTTGAAATTCGTGACCCGATTTGAAAAGGTAAGCCTAAAGGAATAGGGTGGTGAAGCGAGACCGCTGAACATTTAGTGACTTACGTTTCGTGACAGAACAACTTCAAGCCACACGAACACACGCAGCCAGAAGTACGAATATAAGACAAATCCGCGTACTACCTACTCATCATTACCATGCTCGCTGAAGCGTCATGCATTGCATCTCACATAGACACTAGCGCCAGAGTCCCTCTGGTGTATATTTAGGAAACTTGGCTAGCGGACCGGAAAGGACGCACGATCGCGTTCCGCTAAGTGGGAAAGAAGGGCTTTCGCGGCAACCCTCCTCCTCTCAATTTTCCGTCCTTTACCTCTATTTGGTGACCTCACCAGTGACGTCATGAAACTTTCTGTTCGTGATTTATTTTCAGTAGGATGCCCGGCAACCAATGGGGGGTGTAGAAAAAAGATTGAAGATGGAGCTCGGAGGCGAGGAAGAAGAATTAGCCAGGGGCACGCTCTGCAATTTTTATTTTCTTGTTCTGTCAACAATAAACCGAAGACGTATCGGTTTTGCGGTCTCTCTGGTCCTTCTGAAACATGGCGCCGTGACCAGGAGGATCTGAAGACAGACGCACAGACTTCAACCCCATTCGCAACCACAGGTTGAAGAACGAAGCAGCGGCGTCTGGCTCAAGGACGAACCGTCGAGAGAAGGACCACGACCTACAACTGTTGGAGACGCACATAAAAAGGCAATAGCTCTTTCAACACGTTTTAGGCATGAATAAAGAGGTCCTATCGAAGAAGCGGAAGACGCTTCGAGCAAATGTGACGACGCTTACGAGCGAAATCGATAAGAAGATAGAAGAAGACGCCGATCGAGCGCAACATATGACGCTTCTGAACCAGATGAAGAGCGTGTCACAGACGCTAAGACAAGTTAACGAACAGATAGAACCATTCATTGAAGAAGACGACGCGGAGGCAGAATTTGAAAGAGTTTTGCATTATGAGATGAAGATCATCGCTGCAACGACAAAAACACAGGAGCGATTACGCGAATTAGAACAAGCGACGCAATTGACTACGAGAATAGTGACAGAACAGGCGAGCTCATTGCAAGGTACTAACCAAATCTCAGAGACGCAAGAGCTTGTTAAGTTGCCACGTCTTGAGATGATCAAGTTTGATGGGGAAAAAACAGCATGGCCAAGGTTTTGGCATCAGTTCAAGACATCGGTGCATAACAGAACGAACATGCTGAAGAATCAAAAATTTAATTACCTTCTGGCGTCTCTGAGCGGGGAGGCTGCGTCCCTCATAGAGGGTTTGCAGTTTTCTGATCAAAATTACGAGCATGCAGTCGCTCTTTTGAAAGAAACCTTCGGACGAGAAGATAATTTAAAAGAGAACTACATAAAAGAGCTTGCAAATTTGGAAGCAGTGAAGAGTCCTGAAGATGTAGATGGGTTGAAGA